AAGAGGGCTTCAGATCGTCAAGAGACCCAGTAGGGACATCTTTGATTGACGTACCTGCCGAGTAGTAGCACTGGTTCTCGACTTTGCCGCTCGAGCCGTAGTGTTGACCATGAAGTTCATAACGTACCTTTGAAAGGCGGCTGATCTTTGGAGGCCGTCCATGAGTTCTGCATCAAGTTGATCTTGTCAACCATGGATTGCAATAGAGCCGGCTTAGTGTTGTTAAAGAGCTCAATCAAAAATTCATTTGGCTCTCCTTCCTGCAGAAGCACCTTTCCCAGCTGATCTTGGAATCGGGAGAAATGTTCAGCGTGCTCATCAGGGGTATAGACTGAACCTCAAAAGAGAACCACAACGCTTGAGCGAATACATTGGAAGCGTTCATACCACTCAAGTCAGTGATCTTGTCGAATACTCCTCGGATGTTCGGACTCTCACTTTGAGATAGGGTAATCAAGGAGCACAATCCGACGAATAAGAGAGAATTGCTCATATGAAAGGTAGAAGAATAGCAGAGCCGAAATCTAACAGATCATCACGATGAAAATGTACTCGTCTGGCGCAACGGGATGTTTGTTTCAAAAGTAGCGGATACAGTTGTAGAGCCAGTGACTGCCTTGAAGTACTTGCCGCTCGGTGGAGGGAACTTAGCATCAGACTGGGTAGCCAGCGAAGCAATAATAACAAAATGAAGCAGGATCGCGACCATGACGAGCGTATGGGCTTTGTTACGAGGATGATATGAGTTGCTCAACCAACACAAATGAGAGGAGATACAACTAAGAAAGAGGAAAAGTTAACTCGGGATTGCAAAGTGCTCGCATCTTGTGGAAGCGAGAAGCGGCTTGCGGGTTCATGCGGGACTCTCGCGTGAGTACGTGAGTGCGTTCGTGGTAGAACGCATGGTATGTCACGCACTGCGTGCGCAATTAGTTCCAGGGAAGGTTTTCGGAGGATTACTATGCCTAACGCAAGGAATTCAGTGAATCTTGCGGAAGATCTGGTTTCGACTTTTCGAAGTCTTGGGAAGACTGATACATTGAAATGCACAGAGGCGTGTAGGCACCTCATGCGAGATTTCATCTTCTGCTAGTGTAAGATCGCGTGAGACCCGGCGGTCACTCGCCGAGTGACCGCCACGGTTTTTGGTTCGATCCCCGGGTGGGAGTCCTACCGTAGGACATTTCTCTATCATTAAAGTTTTTCGTGCATATCTTTTCGAACTGTTCGCATAATCGAGCTCACTGATCTTTCTCAACGCCTCCGCATATAGAGGAGTCGTTGGACCTATCTGATAACCTCCCACGTTTCGCAGATGAGCCAGAATAATTCTGCACACAGCACGCACAACGCGAAAGTGCCTGTTGTTGCGGTATATGCTCCGCTCGTTTCGCTTGCTCCGCAACTCCCCGTCG